AGCCCGAGGGCCCCGCGGGGGGCGCGTCCCCGCCTGCGCTGCCGTGCGACCTCTGGAAGTCACGCACTGTGCAAATTAAGGCTTCTTATAGGTCGAATGGTTGATAAACACTTTTTTTTTTTTTCTTAAAAAAATAAGCACGGTAAAGGTGGTATCATGAGAACCTGAAGAGATGGGACCTGTACCCCCCAAAGTGGGTAAAAGTCGTTTTCTCTGGCATCTCCATTCACGCATACACAAAATCAGTCTTTGGGTGGGTGGTTTGAATTCACCAGCCGGCGAAGGAAATACTGAAAAATGTGCTCCGTGCACCTAGGGCTGAACAGGTCACGCAGAAAGCTGCGGCCGTCCCCGACTGAAGGCTTGCTGGCGAGCCGCCGGCCCAGCACTCAGGGACCCCGGCGCGTGCGGGCGCGCCCTCAAGAAAAAGAAAGCCAAGAGGAAGAGACAGAGGAAGTACTCTAACTCAGGATACATGACTGACTAGCTCAAAACCTTATATGAACCAACCCAGCACACGCAGCTTCCCGGCCGGCAGCGGATGAACCAGCATGTCGCCTCCTGTCGGCAGAAGAAACTGCTGGGTGGGTGGTTTGTTTTTTGTGTTTTTTTTTTTCTTTTTTTTTTCGCAAACCTGAGTAATTGTCAAAGTCAATAAATAGGAGGAGAGAATTAAATGCTAAAATATAATGGTCAAACACCCTACAGGGCCTAAAGCAGCAAGGGTTTTTCTCAAACACAGCCCTCTGTCCCCGGATGCACCGGCCCGTGCACGCACTGTGGAGCACAGAGCAGCTGTGCCCTCACACGAGGACTTGGGACAAAAACCCGGGCCCCGGGCATCACCCTTTGGCAACTGGCGTGATGCCTCAACCCAGTGACCGAGCAGCCACAGGTGAGCGGCGCCTGACCACCTCACTCTCTCCCCCACAAAATTCTTCCCTTTTGGAACAGTTTTTGTTAAAGGCAAAAATGACAGAAGCATCATCGAGTTGAAGTCTTATTTGGTTGGAGGGCCTGGCTGAGCCAGCGACAGACCCACGTCCCCTGCAGGCACCAGGAGCTCAGATGTTGAGGAGGTCCTCGTCGCTGTCATCGTGGAAGGACACCAGGCCGCCAGAGTTCACGGGCTTGGGTGGCACAGGCCGGGGCGTCGGCCTGGCCCCCTTCTCACCCCTCACCAGCCCCACCCTGTCGGCGCCCGGCTCCCGGAGCACCTTCCTCTGGGGGTGTCTCATCTGCTGTGCGCTGTCCGCCCCGGTCCCTCTGGCCGAGTGAACGCGCACCTCCGGGATGGTCAGGACCTCGTCCTCGCTGTCCTGGTCGTCCCCGTGCAGGGAAGTGAGGGCGTCGGCCTTCACGGACTTCGTGGTGATGTGGCCGTTTTCCTGCCCTTCCTTCCCAGGCCGGGGGGCCGGCAGCTGGATCTCCTCCATCAGCCACTCGGTTTCATTCTCGTCCGCCTCTTCCTCCTTGTTGACCTGCCAGGGCAAAGCAGAGCTCACGGAGCCCCGCCAAAACCCTGCCCCGCTCCTGTTACCCTCCTTCCATGACCCGCCCGACTCAGGGACCCTCCGTCCCCACCCACCGCAGCCACCACGGCCCCAGGTCCCCACCAGGGACAAAACCCGGGAGAGGAAGGCACGGGCTGGAACTGCCAGCTCCTGCTAAGGCCCAGCCAAGGCGCACAGTGTCGCAAGGGCAGGAAAGTGGCCTGGCTGGCGAGTCTGCGACCTTCCTACCGCTCATCCAGAACCGGGTGCCACAGGGGGCAGGGCAGGAGGGGGACGTGTGCTGAGGAAGAGCCACAGAGAGGACACATGTATGCGTCCGAGGTAAGCCTTTCAGAAAGGCTTGGCAGCACACACAGAGCCACGAGCATATTCATGCCCTTTGGTCCACAAGATGCCTCTTTTCTGGAGATTTATTTGAAAGAAACCATCCAAATGCCAAATGCACAAACTTTCCATTATGATATGTAACTTTTTTTAGAATAACCAAAAAAGTGGCAGGAGCCACGTAACCATTAAATGTTCTAGGAAATCAGTTGCAATCACGTCGTGAAAAACGTGAATTAAAAAAAAAGACAGAAGTGTGTTAGGGTTAAAAGCAATAGGAGATGACGTTTTTCCTTTCTACTTCAAATTGCCTGTGATGAGGATTTTCGATCATCACTGAGTGTTAACAACATCCCCAGCTCGCTATTGCGAGGGGCGAGGTGGAGGCAGGAAATTACCTTTGAGTATTTGTAGGACACGTCTGCACTCCGTCGACAGCAGTTGGTCAGCTTACTCATCACCGTCTCCCTGTGAGAGACGACAGTCACTCCGGGAAGAACCAGTAGCTCGAGCCGCCCACTGGCCAGCTGCTCCTAGCTGGCCCCTCCGGTCCTGGCTAAGAGAGGGGCTGCACCCCCCACCGCTGCCCCACTCGGATGGGACGCTGAGCCCGCGGTGGCAGGGTTATAAACCAGTGCAGAGGCAGCAACACTTCAGAATCAGAGCAGGATGCAAATCTCGCTCCATTCACGGTTTAGCAAGGGCTAGAGCGAGGTGCCGCAGGGACACTGGGGTCCCCGCTTTTCCACGTGTGGATGTGATGCCACCACACCTTCCGATCCCCAGGGCTGTGCGGAGACGGCCGGGGCCAGGTGACTACCCCAGGCCAGCTCACGCCCAGACCTTCGGCCCCAACCCTGCCCCCCCCGATGGTCTCTGCCAGTACTTCTCGACAGCCCCTTGCCTCCAGCTCCTCTGCCTGACGAAAGAGGACGAGGGCCCCCGAGATGGCCTCCTCCTCCACCGCCAGCCAGGGCCAAGTGTGCACAGAGCTCTGAGCCCCGTGCCTCGTTCACCAGCGAAATGGCCATCTGCTGGACAGCCACACGTGATGACACACGAGCCCTCTGAGCTAGCAAAGGGGAGCCAAGAGGACGAGGCTGTACCTGGCACACAGCAGGCGCCTAATAATGCTCACTTTTAAGATGAGAAGGGGGGAGGGGAGGAAAGAGCAGACTAGAAGGAAGTCCGCTCACGACAGGTAGTCTAACGCCTGTCCAACTCCGAACACATCCAGAGACTGACGTCTTGGAAACGGGTGAGCCAGGCCGAGAGCCCACAGTGTCCGCCACGCAAGGTGAGACCTGACTCGAGCACCTGGGGCAGGTTCACGGCTCTGGTCAAATGGACGCCTCGTCATGAAACGCAGACGTGTGAGAAACACACCTGGAGACCACGCCCGCAGTGCGAACAGAGCTCCAGGCCCGGGGCTCCAGGGAAAGGGAAGGGAAGCGGGGAAGAGAAGGAAATCCGAGGCCAGGATTCGCTCCGGCCCCGCGGCCGCGCCCGTCCTCACCGTCTCTCCTTTTTGTAGAGCAGCAGGGTCAGCAGACAGCCCGTGAGCGCCACCAGCAGCAGGCTGAGGACCGCCCCAACGGCCTGGCTCCTCTCCGAGAGCCCCTTGTGCTCCGGCGTGTCCTCCTCGGCACTCGCGCCATCGAAGTCCCTGGAAGGAAGCCACAGCGCTCAGGACGCTGCCGCCACAGCGAAGACCGCAGCAACCCCAACTCGGGGAGTGGCGCTGACCGCCAACGCCACACCCAACACGAGCCACCAGCCGTGAGAACACTCTGCCGACAGCGAGCTCAGGCAGGAGTACCGGAAAACAGCTCGAAGACACTGCCTCGAGCTACGTGGACCGTTAGGGAACCGCGAAAAGCTGAGCGTCAAGGACACACTCCTTGGTCCTCGTGCATCCCTCTGGCGGGCTCCCAGGGCACAGAGGGCTAAGGAAGCAAAGACCTGGGTGACAGGCCGGCCACACTCACGTCCCAGGCCTGCAGCCCTGCCGTCTGGGAAGAAATAGTGGTGACAACCACATAGCCTCTCCTTCTCAATATCTCATTGTGGGACACGGCCTCACTGCTTCACAGGGTTGGGGGACATCCATAGGACGGACACTGCGGGGCACAGCACAGGCACCCCAAGGAGCCATTCTCTATTCAGGCGTATTAAGTCCCAGGAGGCAGGGCTAGTGACAAACACAGTCGCTGTTCGATCGGCTAAAATTTCACAATTCCAACCCACGTATGAGAAAAAGCAGTGTATTTCCATGACATTAAACATTCATGATACAAAATCAGAAACGTCTTCACTGACTTCTCTTTCTGCTCACAGAACTGGACGTTTGTGTCACGGCACCATGTACATCATTCGTGTGGCACCAATATTTAGAAATTCGTTGAGACTTGCCCTACATGTGTGTTCCTGGAAAACGCAGGAAAAAGCTGACCTTTTTTTTCTGGGCTAGCACCCATAGGACAAATAAGACCAAACTGATCTAAGATCCGGAAGGTGTGGTCTGGATCTCCCCGCACTGTCCCTGTCACTTTCTGCTGGCTGCGGGTCCCTTCACCAGGAAAGGGAAGCGACAACTACACGGCAAGACCTCAGTCTCCTCCGAACTTAAAGTCTCAGGACAGAGAATGACAAGCTTCTGTACGATGGCAGCCGGATGTGACAGAAAATAAATCCACGAGGAAAGTGGTTTATAACTTTTTGTTCTAGATGAGCGGCTCTAACTGGGACAGTGTAGCTGGGCCAAGAAGTGAAGGCCGCAGGACATGACAGAGGCAGGTCCCCTGAAGCCACACGGAGGCCCGGTCACCAGAAGCCCCTCAGAGCAGAAACGTGTACTTCCCGTGAACATCTGGCCTACAGATGATTTTCAGGATCTGTAGAGGAACTCTTCATTCATTCAAATGAAAACATATTTCGTTCACGTTAAAGTGACCTTTACCACACAGTACTCTGTGCTAAAACAGAAAGCTCTGCTGGGAACAGACAGGACACGGCCCCGCCTCCCCGGAGCCGGGGGGGAGAGGGGGCAGCAGGAGAAAGATGCAAGCAAAGTGAGGGGCGCTCAGGGCCCGGGGCGCACAAAGGCAGAAGGCCGAGGCTGCTGGGGGTGACAGGGTGACAGGGTGCTGACGTGGAGTGGATCAAGAGGGCGGGATGTGGACAACTGCTGAAGCTAGGTGCTGGCTACGTGGGGTTTGCCTCGGCCACTTCCTCTGGACTCTGTGGGTTTGAATCCTCTCCACAGTAGAGCACCAGGGTAAACGCCCATGTGAACATACGCCTGAGCTAAGTTTCGAGAGAGGCGGTTGAGGTACAACTGGTAAGTGTCCACCCAAAGAGGAAAGTGACCGACAGCAACTCCTACCAACGCCAGGACCCCACACTTACCCCAGGGGACACACGGCAGAGGTGTACCAGGAGAAGAGGTACTGGCAATCGGCAGTCTCATGGCTGAACTCAGGGATCCCATCCTTCACCAAAGGGTCGCAGTGGAAGAAGATGGTAGAAGACACAGACTTTGTCTTATCTTTCCCACATTTAGAGGATGAGGTAAACACCACGTCCAGGTCACCATCTGTCAAAAAAGAGGCATACATACCACAGCAACGTTAGCACTGACACCTCAGTAACGGGCCGAGTTTATCTTCAGAGCCTGTAAAAAGTTCGCATAGAGTTAAAATCAGACTTGAGTGTCGTTCATCATATGTTCCGTGTGTGCTCTTCTCCAGACCCCCTGACACATATTATGGAGCCCCTGCCACAAGTCAGTGTGCAGGAAAGACTTAAACCTCGCCCAAAAAGAGGTCTGGCCTCTGTCCTCAGTTAACCACAGGCTCTGGAGTGGAGGCTGGCCATGCAGTATCAGCCTACCTGGGGACTGAGATTGCCAGGTAAGCAACCAAGCAAGCAGCCAGCCAGCCAGCCAGCCAGCCAGCCAGCCAGCCAACCAACCAACCAACCAGCCAACCAGCCAGCCAGTATGGAATCAGATCCCAGAGCCTGTTGTTCATGTCACTAGGAGATAGACTGTACTTCTAAGATAACATCATAGTTAAGGACAGTAGAAATACTGCACTATCTTTCCTATATTGATATCAAATTGCATCCCAGCTTTACTGTGGGAATTTGTTCAACATTTTGTTTGCTGAAGCTCTGTGGCCAACCAGCCAAACAGCCAACCAACCAACCAACCAACCAGCCAACCAACCAGCCAACCAACCAAGACTATGCAATGGAACCCCAATAAAACCCAAGCAACCAAGGGGCACTGAGCTCCCCTGACTGGCAACAATCCATGCACTTTGTCACCAATGCTGGGTCGGTAATGCACCCCGACTCCACAGGGGGAGAACGAGGGAGCGCCTGGCTCCCCCAGACGCCCCTCCGTGCTTCTTCACGTGGCTGACTTTTAACTACACCTTCGCGTAACAAACTCTAACCGTGACTGTGACGGCTCGGTGAGTTCTCGCGTCCTCAGGGAATCACTGAACTTCAGGGCAGTGATGGGAGCCCCCCGAACTCGCAACTGGTGTCAGTAGTGAGGGGCCTGGGGTGGACTCGGCCCTCTCCCAACTCCCCAGTCGGCCGCACTCGGAGGGCCGAGGCGTGTGTGAGGCAGCCACGTCCACAGAGGCGGCCCCGAGACCCAGGCTGCTCGACTTGCTCTCACGACTGCACGTCAAGGCAGCATTCAAGCAGGGCTTTGGCTTTAAACTGTACCTGCGATCTCGATTGCGGGGCTGGTCATGAAAGTTTTAAAGCCCTTCCTGCAAGGAGCTTAAACATGTCACAACGATGGAGAAATGGATTACCTTGAACGTAGTATTTGGTTTTATCAGAAGTTCCAACTTTCCTACTGAAGTGCTGGTCATTCGGTTTGACCTGGCAGATGTTGGCTCCGGTGCACGCTGGATATTTGGAGTTTGTGATGGAAGAAAGCTGGATTTCATACAGGTATTTGTCCCCATTCGTTCTTATGTCCCCAGAGGCACTGAATAGCCTGAAGAGATGAAAGAGGTGGCAGTGACTCCAGCAGCCCTTCAAGAAAGCCCTTCCTCACAGACCCAAGGTGCGGGCACCACCCCACAGCTGTGGGACGCTGCGGGTCTCCCGCCGCCCAGCCTGGGAGACGTGAGAACGAGCCGTGGACACTCCGGCAGGTGCCGATTTCCTCCCCCTCATCCTCCCGCCTGGCCCTGCCCTGGGCACAGCCAGCAGGCACGGTCAGTCACCTTGGCCACTGGACCCCAGCAACTGCCCCAGTAGATACTGCTGAGAAAGTGACTTTTTTTCACAAGCTGATAAGCCCCCAGATTCCTGATGAAAAACTGTTTCAGAAAGTCTGGGCTTCGATCCCTGGGTTTATTAGGAAGTGAGGGAGAACAAGTAACTTTATTTTTACTCGAGAGAATTCACCATCTCTGGCGTTAAAACATAATAGTTGAGTAATGCTTTTCCTTGGTTTAAGCAAAACGTGACGACTACCTAGGAACAGTAACTAAAACATACAGCCTATTTACTGCAGCACTTCCCACTAGAGTGAAATCTGAATGGCTGGTTTAATTTTAAATATGTGGCAGTTCTCAGAGGAACATGTTTCACTTACTTAAAATAAATGTCTCCGAGGCTGATGCTCTTGCCGTTTATAGGGCTGGTGATCGTCCCATTCACCATCTGCACCTCCTGCGGCTTTACGGCGCAGGCGGCCCGCGAGTCCCAGCTGAAGTAGTAAGTGCAGCTATCTACGTCGAACCTGGAAGGAGACGGCAGGGGCGCGGTCACATCCCGCAGACGCGGCCATGCGAGGGGCTGCAGCACAAGACCTCGCACCCTGAGGACGCGCTGCCCGAGAGCCCCAGGTCCCCGAGGAGACCCCCCCACCTCCAAGCCCGCCCTGGGCCTCCCGCGACGGGCAGGCAGCTCCGGGCTAGGATGGCCACCCCGCCCGCTCTCCTCGAGATCACAGGAGAGGGCGGAGAGCACCCCCACAATGTGAAAAGCGGGCAAAGATCTGGCTTCACATAGTTTCCCTAAATTTAGGAACTGTGTAACATCTAAAAGCTGGACAAATTTGCTCCTAGATCTTTGAATTTTCATTTGACAAGCTTTAGACTCATGGAGTGAGTAAAGCCTTGGACAGCGGCTCCTGGGTCTGCCCTGCCAGAAGCCCAGCTCTGCGAGGAATCATTTGTTCACGCACAGCAGCTCACATGCTCCCCCTGCTGGCCAAACTCCCCCTTAGCACCACAAGCAGAACTGCCTGGAGAATTCTAGTATATTCCAAGAGCAATCCAGGTGCTGGCCCCAACTGTCCGTGTATCCCTGACAGGCCACCTGAACACTGGCCTTGGCTGGCACCTATCAATGCCCCTTTTGTTCTATGACATTCGAAGACAGAGGCCACTTAAATGCTGCGTCACATGGTGGCTTTGGTCCCAGCACGCTTCCTTGTGTGGGGCAGCCGTGCACGCTGCAGATAATCAGCAGCCCTGCACCTCCCCGCCGGCCCCAACTCTCAGCAGCCAGTCCCCTCCCTACTGTGACCCTGCTCACACGTTCACAAACCCCAAGTGACAACCAGAGAGAGAAGTTCTGACTTGCTCCCGGCACAGGCTCCACAGTCCCCTGGAGACCCTTGCACGCCCACCTCTTAAATGAAGGCCTGCCAACTGTCTTTGCACAGGTCAGTTCTATGACAGTGGACGTGGTCCTGTTCTCACCACACGGGTCGCCTTTTGAGTAAGTTACAATGACTTTGTCGTCTGAAACACAAAAGATTGCACGGACGTTATTTCCAGTGTGTTATAAAAACCTTCAACGTCGCAAGTCGAGCACACGCCAAGAACCAGGACAGCAAACAGGTTTAGCATTCTGAAAATTTACCCCCCAGGTCACCTTGCAACCTGCTGAGCCCCAGTCTCTACTTTTATGCCCCAAATTGTTAAGACATTAACAATTTGAAAAGGGACAAAAAACTATATATATATAACTATCCTTTACATATTCATAATGGTAACCACATGCATGCCCGCGCACGCACCTGCGAGCCTGGGTACTTGACCCCCACTGGGGCGAGACTCGGAGGGAGCCTCGGCATGCTGCCTGCCCCCACCCCCCAGCCACGGCGCCTGTGACCACCCAGGGGTCCAGGCCTCACCTATGACGTCCAGTCTCTGTGTGTGGACAAGCCCCAGGACCTGCACGTCCCCCGACGCGCTCTTTTTGCAGATGCTGGCTCTGTCGGAGCAGTCCAGGGGCCCCTTGTATATTTTCTGACACAGGTTTATGTAGTACCTATGAAACGACACAAAGGGACGGGGCAGGGGAAGGTCAGTCTCAGCCGATGCGTTCGGGTGCAGCGCCTCTGAACGCGGCACTAAAACGGTTTCCTGACAGAGAGCCCAAGTGTTGACAGACAAGGCACTCCGCCCAGGCACAAGGACAAATCTGGAGACGCCGTGGGGCTGAGAAGGGCTTTCGAGTTGGGACAGGCAGCAGCCCAACCCTGGTGAGCTGTCTGCCTTACTCGAGGGGCCGTGAGGGCTCCAAGTCCGCATCCCCCTACAAAGCGAACGCGTAGCGGTCAAGAGTGCCCGGCGGGGCGGGCGCTGTGTGCGGGGAGCCGTGCGGGGAGCCGTGTGGGGAGCCGTGCGGGGAGCCGTCCGCACAGCTAACGAACGCCAGGCCACCACAGCCTAAGGAGCTTGTGCCGAGGAGCTGAGGGAATGAGCCTCCCAGAAACCCAGCACCCGATGGCGCCCTCCCCAACGCGGACCGAATCAGACCAAGGGGACCTGGCCGACAGCCTCTCTGGGCTCTGAGGCTCCGTTTCTGTCCACCTCTGCCTTGCAAACCGTGCCTGACACCTCTGGGCTGCCCCCGGGAGCACAGGGCACCCAAGCCACCCTACGCTCCAGTCTACACGGCAGTCCCGCCCCTAGAGTCAGAGGCGACGCACCACGAGCCCCCTACCGCCAAGAACCTCCAGCTCCCGCTTACTGACACGGAGGCGAGTGACGGCGGTACTCACGAGGCGCCTTGGTGCGCGAAGAACCAGGACCCGGTGAGAGAGGACAGCAGCCGCAAATCGTAGGTTCTGTGATTCTGGACGAACTTGCACTCCATCTTCTCCGGAGGGCAGACGACTTTTGTTTTCCACTCGAACGTCACCTCGCACCCCCGGGTCTCACTGAAGACCCGTGGCCCCCCGATGTCGGCCTCCTCGTCGCACTTGAAGATGATAGAGGACGTCCGGTGGCTGTTTGCTGGGGAGCGGCAGGCGGGAGAGCTGTCAGGCCTCACCGCCTCGTCCCGCCCCCTCCGTTAACGGGCACCCGCTGCCCCGCACTGGCTGCCCCCACCTGCCCCGGCCAGATCGCGCTCTGTTTCATTCGCAGACATCTTAACCCTGAAGAGACCGAGTGTCTCTCACCGTTCTCCTTAATAACCCCGCAGCGCTAGCCCAATTCCCCAAAGACAGCTATTAAAATTCGGTTCGTGCACAAACAACAAAAAATAAAGTAACGATTAAGATATCCACAACAACCTAAAAATGTTTGAGTATCATCCAACAAACCAGGAGAAAATTCCTGCCACGACGAGCCTCAAGACTATAGTAGACCCTGACCAATTTAACATTCATAATTCCTTAATATATATTGCTTTGTTCTCTGATCCCGTACAAGAATTAAATAACTTTTTCCCATTTTTCTCATCTCACGCTCCTCGGGAACTCACAGGAGCTTGTGCCATACACACTAGTAGGATTCTCTCATGTCACCACTGTCTAAACATCACAGGCACAAATGAGCTAAGTCTGGCTCGCCGTGAGACCCCAGCTCCTGGCCTGTGTTTGCCATGGAGCAGAAAGCTGATGAGAGACCCCTGCTCTTCCTGATCACTCTCCTGCCGCCCTGCAGACCCATGACAAGCAGGAACTCTGCAGAGGCATGAACCTCAATCACCAGTGCTGAAAACTGGTGTGTGGACACAAGCCTCTTGAGCTAGTGAGTGGGCCTAGCTACCCACCCAGCATGTGCGTGTGACCCCTGCCGTGGTCAACACGTGGTTATGCAATACATGCCCTGGAACAACTCAGAACGTCCTTTACGAAAAGCAGCCCCGATGAGAGAACATGACACGCGATGGGACTGCTGCTGTCACTCGGCGAGCCGCACGGTCCGAGCCCCAGGCGGCGAGGGCAGGAGCACAGGCCACGCCCAGGGCCCCCAGACCCGCGCCCAGAGCCCCCAGACACACGCCCAGAGTCCCCAGACACACGCCCAGAGCCCCCCCCCAGACT